ACAAATTCTTAAAGCCCATTACGTAAACAGCCTTAAAATGTGAGAATGCATTCAATCACCATGTGTCAGTGGGAGATCAAGTGAACTTTTTACTCTTTTCCCCCACTCTGCCTTCACCCAATGATTCAGAGGCATGTTTTTTTTCTACCTTGTATTGTGAATAGACTTTAGCTACAAGTTTTTCCAGTATTCTTGTTTACATTCTTTAAAAAACAAAAAACAGGACACTAAGAAAAAACAGTAACAATTTCTATAATGGAGCAAAAAGGTGGCAGGAGTCAGACAATGACCGGAGTGCAAAGCCAGTCAGTTCTGGCATTAACTGTGTGAACTTAGTCTGAGCAATTTCTTCTCCCAAGGCCTATTTCCTCATTCTGAAATCCTTTCCAGCTCCAAATCTATGATTGTCTAAATTCAACCTTCGTTGGGTCCCCTTGCTTTTCTGAGCTTCACGTTCCTCATCTGTCAAATGACAGGGCTGGGAGAAGATGACCTTGGAGGTCCCTCCCATCTGGAAATCTATGACCCTCAGACTCAAGGTCCCTTCCAGCTCAAAATCCTATCATTCAAAGTAAATTACCATGGAAAAAAAGTTTGAGAACCACCTTTGGTTTAAAAGTGGGAAAATGCAAACCTGCTAATATGTTTTTTAAATTACATTTTATTTTATTTTTCAATTAACAAGCAGTTTTCTTTCCCTCCCATCCCACCCCAACCAAAAGAATAACAAAGCTCTGGTAACAAATATGCATAGTCAAGCAAAACAAATTCCCATATCAAGCCCAAAAATATTAGAACAGTTGGGTTAATGTCCCTTACAGGCTCCCAAAGCTAGGATTCTTTAAGAGAGGATTTAATGCAGTCCTACTACTTTGCAGGGAACAGGAACACATGTGAAAATGTTTTGTAACCATGTCAACCAGAAGTTAGCCTTTCACCTGCTCAGTTGGGGGGAAGGTACAAATGATGGAATGGAGGGGGTGCTGGACTTGAAGTCAGGATTAACCTGGGTTCAAATCCCTTCTCAGAGGGATTTTACTAGCTGTGTGGCTCAGGGCAAGTCAGTATTTCTCTCTGGGCCTCAGCTTCCTCACTGATACAATGAGGAGGTTGGACAAAATGACCTCTAAGATCCCTTTGCAGCTCAAATCTCTGATTGGGTGATCAGCACTTTTTTTTTTCCAACAGCACCATGGCTGTAAGGTCTTTGAAATCATAGAGCTCAGGTTAAGGAGCACATGTGAATGAATTTGCTTTACCCAAGATTATGCAAGGCCTAAGACAGGTAGGTACACTTCCTGAGCCAACCAGGCCATTTGTAGTTATGCAAATTTGCTCCTTCTTCCCCTCCCCCCATCCAGTCCTTTGGCTACTCCAGAGTTGTGGAGCACCTCTACAGAGGACTGAAAGGATAAAGTGACAGATCTAAAGCTCAGGGGATATTTAATAAATCCTTGCTGAATGGAGGAAAAACTCAAGAACTTACTTGTTGAGTGACAATTCATTGGATTGATAACCAGTATGTCACTCATTCATTTGTATTACAGACGTGAACTTTTATTAGAAATCACCATAAGAAAGGTACTACAGATACATTCCGGTTTTTCCACCAGCACCAGGAGGTCACTTTTTTCCTACCTGAGAAATTTGAGACGTGCAAAGTGAACTAAAACACGCTGACCCAACGGTGCTTAGCTTTCTAAACGCCTTCAGGATCTTATATAAGGGATCACCATCACGACAGTTCCATATTTAAGAGGCCAAACGGAAAGCTAACATGGTGGTAATTCAATAGTGCAAGCAGCAAACGGTCGAGCAAATTATTAACACTACATAGAGAATTTCCTAATCCACCAAGGCAGATGAAAAGTCATCAGGAAAACCAACTTGACAGTTTTCTTCAGTTTCCTGTCTCACTTTTGTGAGGCCATTAGATTTCTAAAGTACAGAATATCAAGTGAGCCTTTTTTTTGGGGGGGGGGAGTTTCCTCTCTGTGTGTTCTAAATAGTTGCCCTCAAACATAAGATAGAGGGAAGAGGGAGGAGCAGAATGGAGAATGCACACAAACGAAGAACCAGTATTTTTACTCCTGTCTGGGCCCTAGAAGAGTGCTTAGTGAACAGGGGGGAAAATGCTACAAATGAATACCTTAGCACCAATTCTATGATACTAAATCACCAGGCAAAAAGCCAAGGATGTCATGGGTGGAGTTTCACTGGAATGCCCTCCAACAAAACAGATCACTTCTCTGTAACTTAGGAGAGAAGTCAGAGAGAGTTGCCAAACTGGGGGCTCAAGAGTTAACTTAAGTGACCAGCCTTTGGACACCCAGCTAGTAAGGAGCAGAGGCCATATTTGAACCAACCAAGCTTTCCTGATTTCAGGTCCAGCACTCTTATCTTATCTTAACCTTTGTTGTGCTACCCCTAGACTAAATGCCTTTTATACATATACTACATTCAGAAAGAATGCCAGCTCTTCATTTCTGTCTGTATATCTAACCCCAGCGCTCTGAAGCACACAACCGGAGCTTGAAAAATGTTTGTTGTTTGATTGCTATGCAATTAAAGTTTCATTTCAGAAGCATTCAGTAGTAAATCTTTTTACACCCATAAACTTTACATAGAAAAATATTTTGAACCGGATGACCAAAAAAACAATAGATTATCACAATAAATGTAGCTGTTACAATCTCTTCAGTGCAACTGTACAAAAGATTGCAAATAAAAGCAGAACCTAGAAGCCAAAGAGGGTAGGTTTTCGACACTTATTCACACAAAGTCCCTTGATAAAAGACAAGCTGTATGAACTTTCCAAGGTATTATGAAAAATAGTAACTCCATCTGAATGTTAGCAGTCATTCCTGAGCCTCGGAGAACATGGAGAAAAGGCACTGGATACACAGGAGGAGTTGGAAAATTGGACAACAGACCACACCCAGTTTGCTGAGTCATTCAATGAAAAGCCAAATTGTACATGAAAGGCGGCACATTTTTCTCGTCACAATTTTATTCAAGTTAACATCATAAGCGCATACAGTACATGACAACACATTCTTAGCTGAATCCTCATTCTGTCACACAGCTACATACTTAAAATACTGAAAACCATCACCATGTGGTTCTTAATGCAGAAAAGTTGGGGTATTTGGTAGTTTTGAAGGATTTCACCCAGGATGACGTACCACACTTCAGAAAAACAGGCCGCTAGAGAGAAGAGGACTCATCTTCATTTTTCCCACCCATCTTCCCACAGATCAGAGAAGGCCTGGTCCACAAGTCAAATTTTTGTGAAAACATTCCAGGCTACTGGGGGCGGGAGGAGAGGGGACAGGGTCTTAGTATGCTTCAAATCATCCAATTCAGCAGACATTTCTTAAGCACCTGCCATGTATGGGGCTTCATACAGTTGTTGAGGCTACTGAAATGAGTCGGACCCTGCTCTCAGGGAGCTTACAACATAACTAGCTTGGGCGGGGAGAGGGAAGGTTATACACATGAACACAATCTAATTGGCTGGGAGGAGGAGGGTAGAAGAACATATAAATCTTACTGGGTGGATGGGATGGGAGCATATATACACGATCTCATTGGCTGGAGAAATAATTATGATACAAGACAGAATGTAGAAGGTGGTAAATTCAGGTAATGTGCTCTGAATAGAAACTCATGAGTTTTAAATCAGGCCTGTTTCAAGTAAGCCAGCTTATACAAAACCTGGCTTGCTATGACTTGTGAGCATTGAACAGCATTTATGCTTCAAGGAGTCTCTGATCTAGTCCATTCATCTTCAGTTGTTTAGGCCAACTATGGCTTTGTTGGAATTATTTTCACCTCCTGTCCTTGGAGTACCCAAGTCTAGCCTTCAATAATTTGTATGCTGCAAAATTCTCAAAGTCATGACTATATGAGTCTGGGGAAGGGCTCAGCTTTAAGCAGCACCAAACATAATACAATGAAAAATGTTCCCATTTTGAGCCTGCAAATCCAAGAAATTTTAACATGTGAACACTCCATAACCTTTTCCTGTCTAGAACACTCACCAAGGGCTCAGACCTGGTCATGTCTTTCCATGACCCCTTTAAAAAGCAAAGTTTGGGACACTGAATGATTTTTACAAATGGATTTCATTCTCAACTCTGAGCAAAACAATTATACAAAGTGAAAAAGTATCTCTCCTCTTACTCTATCACTTCTCTGAATCTACCCCTCAATACTTCAAAACAGCATTAGAACTGCCCTCAGGCCCCAGAATGGCTCTCTGAGTCCCTAGAAGATTTTAGTCATCTAAGATCCAGTTGCTAACTTTCTTACCAAGCTTCCCACTGCCAATTTCAATGGAATTTTGTCGCCTGCCTTTTACATTAACCCACTCCACAAGCAGCAGACGCTCTAGTCATGTTGCTGCCAAGTCCTTAGCCTTCCTCCACATGAACCCTCTGTAACCCTTTGGTCTGATGTACCCATCTACTTCTGTGTTCTAGGTGTCTCTGAACACTTAGCAGGTGTCACCCAGGAAAGATCTGTAGAATTGGAAATGAACTGAATTGTCAGATTCTTCTTCCATATGTTGTCCCAAAAAGAATGGTCCACTGATGACTGTGCTTAGATTCTCTTTGGGTACCTGTCCATAAAATGCTCAAAATCATTTTTCTAAGAAATCAAAGTGAGCTTCTAGCTGTTTTTCCTTTCCATTTGACTGTCTAAGAAGGAACCAAAAAAAGGTACCTGTAGACTAGAGGCTCTTAACCCAGGGTTTGTGGATAGATTTTAGGAAGTCTGTGAACTTGGATGGGGGGGGAGGGGAGGAAATCACACCTTTATTTTCACTAATCTCTAACTGAAATTTAGCTTTTCTTTTTAATTATGAAAAAAAATTTTTTTTAAACGGGCTTCACCAGACTGCTCTTGAAGAAGTCCAAGACACACAAAAAACACTTAAGAACCCCTGTTATAGGCAAAGATCATGCTTCTTGCAGCATATATCACTTTTGACCAAATGAGAGAAAACAGAAAAAGAAATCCTTTATTCCCAACTGTCGTTTTGGGTAACAATCAGGGAAGAGCAAAGAAAATGTGGCTAAGGACGTTTTCCTACTCCAAAGGTTATATTTTCACTTTGCTGGACACTCTATTGAAGGTTCAATTAAACTACTGGATTGCTCACTCTTAGTTAGCAGTGATCTGCAAGCACATTTTAGAAATCTCCCCAAGCCTTACTAACATACCTGCTGTCATCACAATATATGAGCTATACTAGATGAGGGGTTAAATTGGCCACAACTAAAACTTTTAAGTAACATCTTGCTATCTAGCCGATGAATTCCTAAAGTCTTGCTTTGCATTTTTTTTTTTGCTTTTCTCTTCTCAGATCATTTATCATTATGAAAAAATCGGGTGTCTGAGCTCAGTGGCTTTCAAAAACTCTTCAATTTAAAGACTGAAGATCTCTTTTTGAAACCATTTTCAGAGGCAAGAGGATCTGGACTGTCACAGCTGGCGAGACAATCATTGGAATTCGGGGTTCCTTCCTTCCATTTAACCCATCTGTTGGAGATGCCTATGTCTTGATCAGATTTCAGCTTCCAAGGATCACTCATATCCTCAGAAAGCCCCTGGACCAGGGGGACGTCAACACTTTGTGAAGATGCTATCGGCATACAAGAAGCTTTACATTTCATTTTGGATTCCATCGTTTTGCTCCGTTTCTTCTCGGGTTTTTTGAGGGACCGTAAACTGCTGGGGTCTGGTGCAGGGCAGTTGTCTTCATCAAGTCTGTCTTCTACGAATGGCTTTTTCTTCTTTTTTCTGGTGTTTTCCTCAACCCCATTGGTTTCACATTCACCTTTGGGCCCTGGGCATTTCAATTCATTCCTGGACCTCTTAACTGTTTTCTTAAGCTTGGATCTAAGGGGCTTTGTCAAGTCGATGGGTTTTAACTTTGGGCACATGCCACACTGGCTACATTTCTTTTCTTGATCAAAGGCAACAATTTCAGTGTAGTAATCTGAACCTTCCATCACCTTCACCAAGCGGCCTGCATTTGGAGAAGAGCTTTGCTGCTCACTCTCTTCACTCAATGTCTCATTAAAGCAATCAGAATCACTACTAATCTCTTCTAAGAAGTCTGTTACCTCATAAGAGAAGCCAGCAAACTTGGATTGGGAAGAACTCTTTCTCTTACTCTTATACTTGTAGTCTTTCATAGGGCCAATATGGGAGTTCTGCCAAGGGCACTGCTTTCCACCCACATTAGACACAAGATCAGCAGCTTCGTTGCCTGGGTCTATGTAATGGTGTTCAACTGTCTTTGCAAACTCTTCAGCACGGCTTGTGTTTATAGCCTTTCTTGGTCTGGGCTCCCACTCTTCACGGGCAAGCTTCCACTGCTGATCATCCTTCGGGGTCCAACCGACCTTCTGTCCATTTTGCGAGATGTGATGGTCTGATTGGTTCAAGTTGATCTGAAACCCATTTCCGTTGTCATGGACCTCCCTCCGCCACCAAGATTTGCTCATGGCATCCTTTGTGTCTTCGTAAACACGAGCATATTGTGGAGGCTGATAGTAATTTAACAGGTAGTGAATAAATTCATCAGTTTCATAGATTTTCTGTTTTCTGCGATAGCCTTCTTTACGAAGCCTGGGATTAGAGGGTTTATTCGATAAATGCCAGTCTTCTTCTTCATCATCATCATCTTCTTCGTCTTCTTCTTCAACAGAGTGGACTGCCTGGCTCAAGTCCTGCTTAATTGTAATCTGTAAGGAGTTCAAGTGAGAGACAAAACTGTGCTTGCATGTGTCAGGTATTAATTTGTCAGTGCCTTCTCCTTCAGCTGGGTCATCTGGAAGGGTTTTCTCCAAATGGCAAGAAGATTCAGATAAGTCATTCCTCTTCTTGCTTTGGGGGATTAGGGTTCTTTCACACTTGACAGACTTCTTCTTCGATGTTTTCTTCTTTGCCTCTTGGCACAGAAGATTTGGAGGGTTTGGCTCTTCCTTCTTCAATGTCTTCACCTCATACTCTAGAACACAAGCTTCTTCAGGTTTTGGATTCTCCACTTCCTGGTTGTTAACTTTTCCACATTCCTTCAAAGGAAAATGTTAAAACAAACAAACAAACAAACAAAAACAAAAAGAAACCTCAAATGAAAACACAGTTCAAAAGATCTCAAATAAAATTCTAATTTCTTTTCACTGAGCTACCCCTAATACCATAGGAGCAAGTCAAATGCTTAACAAGATTATATTAGAGAGGAAGGAGACAAAAGAGCTTTGCTCTGTTCTGTGCTGCTTTCTCTGTGTACCAGTCAAGTTTTGTTCACAGGGCTCTAGACTTGAGAGCCTGTAGAACTTAAAAACTGCAAGGCATAACCAGACTGGTACATCACTGTCCCCTTCCATCCTGTGGCAGCTCACGGAGGAGACAAAAGAATGGGAAGTGGCCATCACCTGGCTTCTCGGTATGTAGGGGGCACAAAAGAGGGCCTATTAACAGTCTCTCAACTGCCAGTGAACTCGTCCTTTGCTCCCAGTGACACCTAACACACATCAGGGATCGACCCGTTCTTTATCTGAGCTCTGACTAGATTAGGACCTGTAGATTATACAGCTAATAGTGTTAACAAGACCTAAGCACTACAAGATTAAAGAGCTAATTATCTCACACACACAAAAAAAAAAAACAGAAAAGAAAAGTCTCTCACAGTGGAGGGGAAACAGGGGAAGGTGAGAGGGAATGAGGGAATCTTATTCTCATAGGATTTGGCTTAAGGAGGGAATAACATACACATTCAATTGGGCATGGAAATCTGTCTTACCCTACAGGGAAATAGGGGGAGAAGAGAGGAGGGCAGATTGGGAAAGGGGGTAATCAGAAGGAAATACTTCTGAGGAGGGACAGGGTCAAAAGAAAGAATAGAATAAATGGGAGGGCAGGATAGGATTAAGGGAAATAGAGTTAGTTTTTCACAACATGTCTACTAAGGACGTGTTTTGCATAACTGCACATGTACAACCTATATTGAGTTGCTTGCCTTTTCAATGAGGGTGGGTGGGGAGGGAGGAAGGGAGAAAATTTGGAACTCAAAGTTTTAAAAACACATGTTTTAAAAAAAATGTTTTCACATGCAACTGGGAAATAAGAAATACAGAAAATGGGGATACAGAAGCCTATCCTGCTCTACAGGAAAATAGAAGGGGAAGGGGATAAGAGAAGGGAGTGGGGAGAGATAGAAGAGAAGGCAGACCAGGAGAAGGGGTATTCAGAATGCATGCCATCTTGGGGTGGGGGGAGGGGGGAGAAATTTGGAACTCAAAAACTTGTGGAAGTGAATATTGAAAACTAAAAATAAATAAATGTATATTAGAAAGTAAAAAAAAAAGATTAAAGAGCTAGACACTCAGCACCTAAAAGAGAAGTTCCCCTTGGCTGTCATAAAGATGAAATCAAAGGTCATCTGAACTTTATCTGTTAGAAAATATAAACGTCTTGGACTCCAAGTCCATCAACTGGGGAACAGCTGAACAAACTGTGTATGTTAATATAATAAAATGCTATTGCATTGGGAGAAATAACAAGTATGCGGAATTCCAAGTAACATGGGAAAGCTTATATGGTGTGATGCAGAAAGCTGAACTAAGAGAATCATGTACACAATAACCACAATGATGTCAATAAGGCTAAAAATCGGCCAAATTCATATTAATTGCAGCAAAGACCAATCTTGGTCTTAGATGACAGATATTACACGTTCCCCATCTCTGTAGAGAGCTGAGGAATCACTGGTGTGGCGTGTTACATATACTTTCAAATGTGACTATTAATTGTCTGTCTTTCTTTATTTTAAACAAGGGAGGACTCAAGGGGGGTGGATATCAGGAAACACCTGGCATGAAAATAAAAAGACATCAATAAAACTTTTTTAAACCTCTTAGATGCTTTTTAATACTGTTTTGACTTTGTCCCTATCTGCACCCTGCCCTCCACCTTTGGTCAGAAGGTTCAAGACTTCAAATATAAATGGAATTCTTAAGAGGTGTTTTGGTGCAATGGAAAGAACAGTGCAGTTGGAGCTGGGAGACCTTGGTTCAAATCCTAGACCTTCCACTAAATAGATGTGGAAACCAGGATGAGTCACTTCATCTATCCGGGCCTCAGTTTCCTCATCTATACAATGAGGATAATAACTACTGCACTACCTGCCATGGTCAGGCTATGGGCCAAGAACCCTGTAAATTTCTGGGCTCTAGATAGTGGCAGTAGCACTAAATAACAGTGGTGGTAGCATCACCTGCTTTTGGGTAGGTCCCTCCCTCCTTTGGCTCTCAGTTTCCTTCTCTGTAAAATCCTGGTTGTGCTTACTTAATAATATAATAATGATTAATTACACATAATTATTACTAATAACAGCCAGAATTTACATGGCTCGTTGAGGTGTGCAAAGCACCTTACATATGGCATCGCATTTAATCCTCAGGACAACCCTGGGAAGTGGGTGCTACCTCCATTTACAGATGAGGAAACTGAGGCAGACAGAGGTGAAATGACTTTGCCTAGTGTCACACAGCTAGTAAGTATCTGAGGCAGGATACAAACTTAGGATTTCCTGGCTCCAAGTCAGGGCCCCCTATCCACACTGCCACCTACTCCACCATGTCAAAGTCCATTGCTAGAAAGAAAAAAAGGTAAATGGAACTTTGTAAAACAAACAGGCAAAAGGTCAGTTTGGTAAACAGAAGCAAAGGTTCCACATCTCAACTCTCCACACACTAGGAAGACTCTAAGGTATAATTTCTCTCCTCTACTACTAGGAGCAGGTGAGTGGAAACCCTAAAGAAACTCTTCTTGATGAGAGACCCCAGAGAATATTGGGAGGGAAAACCATTTCCCATTTAAAATAAATGCAGATTCTCACCCCATATTCCAGTTACCATTTACATGAATTGAGCTGTTGGTAGCAGCTTAAAGAAGGCTCCACTGAATTCAGCGTGGCCTTCAAATGGATCCTATTTGAAAGGGACCACCCAGTTGCAGTAAAAACTGGTGTCCCTTTCAGCATAAGGACTGGTTGCCAAATCTAAAGAGGGATTGTGAAATGGCCTTACAATAATTCTACTCAGCAGCACCCCTAGTGGTCAAAGGGCCTCTTACACGCCTCAGTACCAGCAGGTGCTCTCCTACCTCCACTAGTCATGGGAGCCAGAACTAGGTACCTCAGCTTTAGCTTTCTTTTTCGGGCGCTTCTCCTCCTTCGGTTTCTGCTTCTGTTCTTTCTTTTTGATCTTGGTTTTCCTTTTCTTCTCTCGGAGCTTCTTCTCATCATCTTTTCGTTTTCTAGGTAACGATTAAGATGAACAAGTCACAGGGCATTTCTCTAAGGGCTGGGACTGAGATATCTGGCATCAGCAGACTATACTGACCAAGAAATGCCAAGTCCTGGCACCATCAGACTAGAATGAAGAATGTATACATGGAGGGATTTATGAGGGGCTCTCAAAGCTTCATTCTCAAGAAATCCCTTTAAATCATTCACGGAGGAAGATATATAATCGCATCTGCTCATCTTTAGCTGCTTCTAATATACAAATTATTTTCTCCCACTGCATTTACCTTTCCTTTTTCATTGATACCTGCACTTGGTGAAAAATATCTCTAGAACAGAGGTTCTTAACTTGGGGTCTGTGAGCTTGTTTTAAAAAATATTTTGATGCCTCTATTTCAACATAATTGGCTTTCTTTGTAAGTCCATATATTTTATCTTACGTGTTTAAAAACATGATTCTGAGAAATGGTCCATTAGGCTTCACCAGACTGTCCAAGCAGGTCCATGACCCCCCAAAAGGTAAAGAATCCCTGCTCCAGAGAGTGCTGGGGAAGAAATGATTCCCATTCTTTGGACTAGCCACTTTAAAGTTCCTTTGAGTTGAACACAAGATCCTCAGACCAAAGTGAATGTCATATGGTTGTACCAATGGAAATGACAAGAAAGCAGACGCATTAACCGTTGGCTTTGCCACTGCACTGTAAGGCTCACTGGACCTTTCCATCTTCCTCTCCTATTACAATGTGAGATCCTTGACACCAGGGACTATCTAGCTTTTTTTCTATCCCTACCCCCCAGCACTTAGCACAGGACTTGGCAGAGTAACACTTAACTGTTTTTTCATTGTCATTCATTCATTCGTTAACAACAAAGTCTCCCAGCAGCTCTGCCTATGACCAATAGCTCATCCAACTAATTCATTAGCTTCTTAAACCAGATCAGCTCCTGCCCCTCCCCCTCTTTCCAAGCAGCAGAGCTAGTCCTAAAGAGTGCCACAGTGCCCCTTATAGTTATCTGCAGCAGCACAGAGGTGATGGCCTGGAGGTCCATAAAAAACATCCATTTTCAGACACCGCCAATGTTTGGATTTGCTTTATTTGACTATTCTTATTTGTTACAAGGAAAGGCTTCAGGTGGGGATGGGAGGGAGGAGTGATGGCAAGAAAGGACGAAATAAGGTCAAATCAGTAAGATGTTAAAAAAAATACACAAAAGAGAGCAGAAGGAAGTTCAGAAGGGCACACAGACCAGAAGGATAGCGTTGGAATGACTAGCTTGGATTTAATATATACTTTAAAACAAATTACACAGAATAAAGATTCATAGATTCACATACAATCCTCTTTGTATATGAAATATTCATGCTTGTTAAGTTCATAATAATGAAAAAGTAAAATTATTTTCAAAAAAAGTTATCTATGAGACATTTTTTTTGGACATGGCCAATGCAGGAATCTCTTTTGCTTGACTATACATCTTTGTGGCAAGGAAAAAATAGTTATCTATGCCTCACAAAGGAGCCACAGTATTTTGTGGTTAAGCACTGCCTCAAACATTCTGGGAAAGTTCATGGGAAAAAAAATCTCATTCATATAGAGCAAAGTCATTTTTATAAATAATATTTCTTTTATATGTATCTTGTGTATACTCCTGTGTGTTGATACTGTCTCTCCAACAGAACATGACATACTCTGTGAGCACAGCAAAGGCTTCTGTCTTTCTATCCCCCGCATTTGGCAAAGTGATGGACACATAGTAGATGCTTAATGAATGCTTACTGATTTTTCTTACAAAGATAAACTTAGAGAAATAGAAAAATCAAGGAAAATCTGTACTATACTTGATGAACAAGGAAATGAACTCCACACACCAAGGATTTAAAAGTTGTTGACCCTGCTTTAGCCACTGAATCAGAAGAGAGTCCCAAGAGAGCTCTTTTGAAAAATTTGTCCAAACATTACTGTTTCTGGGCCCTGTTCTGCTCAAGTTCTTTTGACAAATTCAACTCTCCTGGGACACTGTAATCAAATAACTGACTGAGGATAAGGCTAAAAGTGTTCAAAACAGACCTAATACAAAGATGGTATGAGATGTAAAACGAAAATGATCTTGTAGCCCCCTCTCTCCCACAGGCAGGGCCCACTGCAACCCAACTCTTACGCCAGGCTTGGAGTTTATGAGGGTTTTTTTGACTTAAGATACCATCAAAGGCTCAGTTTGCTAGTTCTGGGGCCTGCCTCCCCTCCCTCAGCTACAAAAGCAGGAAATGAGTTACAGGTATTTAGAGAGACCAGAGAATTAGAATGAGTCCTAAGCGCTAAATGGGGTACAAAGGGAAAAACCTACTGGCCTAGAATGGCATGAGTCTATTTTAGTTTTCCAAAAATTAAGACTGATTTTGCTCAAAGATCCAAAAAAATGGACCAGTTATCTGACCAAGGCCTCATTCAAAAGCCAGGCAAACTATGCTTAGTTGGAAATCCCTCTGGCTTAGGGTTCCCTGTCTTGACTAGATTTCTGGCAATATTTCTCTAAGACATCTTCATTCTGCAGTGGCTCCAAGTGACTCATCATCCCATTAGGAAAAAAAAAGTAGGGAAGAAGGAAGGAGGAAATGGCAAGAGATTGTAAAAGACTGAAAGAGAGCAAGGGAAAAGGGACCAAGAGGTGAAAGAGTCTGACTCTCTCCATTCACATAATGATGGCAGAAATAGATTTTCAGATTTCTGATCCTTTGGACCTTCTTGACATGCTGCTGGGAAACCAATTCCCCTTCCTAAGGGACCAGAACCCATGTGAAAAATGCTCATGGGCTCAAGAAAGGACAAAGGCTCCTGAGCACCAAGAAAGTAACCCAGACAACAAAAATGGTGCCACACAGAGGTGGCCAATAAGTCAATTTATTTGTGCCTTCTAGGTCAACCCAACTCTAGCTGCCACTTAGCCAGCAAAAACCTTTCCCAGACCTATGGTAAACTTAGATGAGTCAGTCAGTCCAAAAGCGTTTATTAAGCACTTACTGTGTGCCAGATGCCATGAAAAGCTCTGAAGATACAAAGAAAAGCAAAAACATTGTGAGCTCCTTGCCCTCAAGAAACCCACAATCTAAAGAAGGAGAACATATGCAAAAAATATACATACAGGGGCAGCTAGGTGGTGCAGTGGATAGAGCACCGGCCCTGAAGTCAGGAAGACCTGAGTTCAAATCCGACCTCAGACCAAACACTTGACACTTACTAGCTGTGACCCTGGGCAAGTCACTTAACCCTAACTGCCTAAAAAAAAAAATACACACACACACACACACACACACATACAAGATCTATGCAGCGTAAATGGAAGGTGATCTCAGAGCAAAGACACTAACGAGCTGTGAAGGGACCTTTGATATTAGTAGACCTTTCCCCCTATAATTCTAAGCCTGTCAGGTTCTGCAACCATGATTAGCACTGCTGCACCTCCACACTCTGTCTTAGAAACCTCTGCTGCACCTCCACACTCTGTCTTAGAAACCTCTGGACAGCTGCATGCATTTGTTTGGCTTGACTAATTATTTGTTAAAAGGGAGAGCTTTTATGTGTGGGGGGAGGGGAGGGGAAGGGACAGAGATGCAAAAAAAAAAAGAATATCAATGAAACACTTAAAAATATATAGAAGAAAGCAGAAAGAAGATCAGCAGGTTCAGAGGGAAGCAGGGAAATGGTGGCATTGTTGGGTGAAATTATACATATATACACACATATATATACTTACACACACACACACACACATATATATATATGTATGTATATGTATATATACACATACATATGAATTTTTTAAGAAAAATACATGTGATTCACTGTTTCACACACAATCTTCTTCTTCTGTTCTTCATATACCTGAAAATGTTCATGTTTGTTGATGTCTGAGTTCATAATTAAAGAAAAAAGAAGAAAAGTTGTGTAAGGGAAAAAAGAAACCTCCAGCCACAATCATTTTCATTTCATGCCAACACATGGGAACAAGCAAGACGAAGCTAGTGCAAGACGCAGACTTCCTATATGAAACAGACAAGCCAAGCAAGCACAGCCTCAGGTTGTGTTTTGGAGCCTGGGCCAGTCTCGGCCTCTGCTTGTTTGACTCCTAACAATCAAGGCCCTCACAGCCAATGCGTGCTGCATGGATTTCATCCTGAATGAGATGAGCCCATCAAGTTAAAGAGTTGACAAAAAGTTAAGCTCACCTTTCTGCCTCTTCTCGCTTCTTTTCTCTTTTTCTCTCCTGTTCCAGCTCTTGCAATTTTAACCTTTCCTGGTTTCTTTTCCTTATAGCGCCCTCACTGAAGTGCTGGGTTGTATCAAACATAACCTGTCCAAAAAGAATGGGAAGATTCAGTAAGCAGGTGAATTCAGTGGCTTGGAGAAACCAAGGATCTACTGAGTCTGACTGGCCAGCCAGGGGGACCAAATCCAAAGGGCACACAGCCAGCTGAAGGGACTCCACATGACCCTGGCATATCCCCAATCCGACAGCGTCTAGCTGCTTCTCTGAACAAGAGGCTAGAATTGCCTCAGGCCATAGTGCTGGAGAACAGGCCTCCCCTCCTGACTCAGTACAAGTTATCTTGCACATTTTCATGTTAGTTAAGGAAGGTGATTTTGTGTGTCCTTCTGGGGGCACACTCGTACAAGTTGTCAACATATCACCTTGGTTACTACCAAGATGAACTAAGTTAAGGGCTTTTAATATTCCTAGAGTCAAAAGTTACCAACAAGAAGGTATAAAACTGCCACTCATAAGACTCGTGGCCTCAAATCTCTATACACAAAGTATGGGTAATAAACAAGGTGAACTGAAAATCCTAACCTCAGCTAGACAAATCTTACCTCAGAGGTATTGTTGAGATGTAATCTGAATTGGACTTATGACTGCAATAGGGCTCTGGAAGGGTATATTCCAAAGGAATAATGCAGGTAAAAAGCATAGAAGGGAAAAATAGCACATGGGGTTATAAAAAAGATATATTCATGCAAAGAAATCCAGGGATCAGAGAAGGAAAGCATGGCAGGGAACATCTGGGAAAAGATCAACAGAGGCAGAAACAGAAGTGATACTGTCATCAGAATATACTACAGACCAGAAAAAGAAAATAGATGAGTTCAGGAACCAGATCACGAGACTGGCCCTGAAGCATGATAGAGGACTTCCACTACCTGGACATCTGCTGGATCTCTCTCTCTACTAGAAGCAGGACAGCTAATAACTTCTTTACTTACCTTAATAATAATTTCATTCTCCAAAAGGTAGTGGAACCAATAAGAGAAATTTATAATCTCACTTGCAAAGGGAAACTGGCTATGGGGGCAAAAATGACGGGAACCTGGCAAGGAAATGGCCACTCCATCACAGAATTTACGGGAGAAGGAGAGGAAAACTGGGCTTAGTGTGACCCCATTTACCTAGATTGGGGGATAATACATTTTAACAGGTTTGGAGAAGAGATAGATAGGCTCCCCATGGCCAATTCTACCAGACAAAGTCAGTCCAAGAGGGATTGGAAGCATCCAAGAATGAAATTCTGAGGACATAACAAGAAATAATTCCAATGAGGAAGAAGGAAAATGTCTAAAGATGTGAATGCATGGGGAACTCATTGACCCATTTGATATTTCAAAGTCAAGCAGAGAAGATGAAAGCAGGGACACATAACAGAGGATGAATACCAATACTTCGCACAGTCCCTAGAAGAAGAGAATCAGAGATATCAGAATGACAACAGTAAGGAAAGCCAGGATGACAAAACTGGGTTTTAGAGCTATATTAGGGAAAAGCAGGAGTGTTGAAATTGAAGTAAAGGGATATAAGAGAAAACTTAGTTATACTTACTGAGTTCAAGTCACACAAGAACCAGATGAATTTGAACCCGAGCTGCTGAAAGACCTGGTGGAAGTGACTGCTAACCCGCTTTAAGTGAGCTTTGAAACAACATGGAGCGCAGACAGTTGCTCCAGAACCAGAGAAAAGCAACATTGTTCCAATTTTCAAAAAAAGGAAAGAGAATGGAGCCTACAAAGGGAATCTGAGTTCATTTTTCTGGCTAAATTCTAGACCATATTATTAAAGGAATGGTCAGCGACCATTTATTTAGGTAAGGAAGCAGTCAAAGATCACAAAGAAACAGTCACTTCCCCAAGAACAGGTCATGCCAAAGGAACTTCATTTCCTTTTTGGACAAGGTTGCTAAACTGATTTCCAATTTTTCACTCCTTTCTTGGTGGAACATGGGCTAATGTTGCAAATGCTAGCCTCTTTATTTCCCAAAGCCAAAGGTCCTATGATTTTCCTGGTGGTTTCTGTCAAGTCCTAATCTCCCAAATATGGAAGCTTCTTGGCTTCAGAAACATGTCCTTCAATGAAAGACCTTTTTTTCACCAGTTCCCAGGGACATAAAAAGAAAAAGACCCAAATCAAACCAAAACTAAAGCCTTCATAGCTACAGTGGAGAAAGTGAGGGGCAGCATAGCACAGAGGAAAGATAACTGACTCTTGGAGTCAGAGGACCTGGATTCAAATCTAACTCTGGCTAATTACTAACTGTGTGACCTTAGGCAAGTTGCTTAGCCTCTCCAGGCCTCATTTCCCCCTTTGTAAAATGAGGGGGTTGCAACTAGACCAGTCTCTAAGGCCCCTTTCAGATTTGTGATCCTATAAATAATGGACTTGGGAGTAGAGAAGACCTGGGTTCAAATCCTGTTTCAGATACCTACCAGCTGTGTGATCCTAGGCAAGTCACTTAACAGTGGGGGGGGAAGACTCAGTGGACTCTAACCTCCCCTCCAGCTCTAAATGCATGATAGTATGACCCAATGTTTTAAAAGTAAACGTTCCACACAAAGAAACTAGAGCCACATCTCTGAAACAAAGGACATTAAGACTGTCATATCTTATTTAGTTATTATGTATTCAGTAGGAATCATTGATATTTTCACATCATTCTTGGATGTGAGAGCAGAGAGAAAGAAGAAAAAAAACCCTAACAAGTTACAACATACCATAACCCTGAGAAACAATCACATGCCCTGTCCTCTTCTTCCTAGCCATTTCTAATAACCATCATTTCAAACACTAGTTGATGGCATGCCTGATTACAGAAGAAGAAAAGAAGACATTAAAAAAGAGATCTCTCTCTAAAAACCTCAATGTCATGACAACTGAGCTCCAGATGCTAGCTGTCAGTTGGATGCCTAACGGGACCAGAGGCACAACGTCAGTCCAGATGTTTTCATTTTGGCTCCGTCCCATCTGCAAATCCCAGCCAGGCCTGTTACCTTGATGTTGCAGGCCAGGGCTTTCCCATCTTCCCCCTTGAGCATCAGCTTCATTCCCCTCAGGGATTCCATGGCTTTGACAAAATCAGCATACTCCTGATACTGGATGAAGGCTTCAAAAGTCTGAAGGCTGCCTAAGGTACAATGGTTGAAGGTGCCAGTGGCCATCACTTCTCGGTAAGGATCAAGCATGGGAATGTCGATGTTCTTTATTTTCCCGAAGCTTTCAAACACCACTCTGAGGATCTCTTCACACGGCTTTTCCCCACTGGAGCCCTTGGATGCAAACCACTTGCAGGGCAACCCTTGAAAGTAGATGGAATCGGGGCTCTCATTAAGGTTTTGTTTAAGAAGCTCGTCACTTGCCGCCTTGTTTTTCTGGGAGGCCAATTCCCACTCTTGCTGAGATGGGAAGTCTAGCCAGGCATCTGTGGCCACGATTTTCAAGCCGTTCTTCAACCCGTTCAGCCTAATGATCTTCCCATGCAGTTTTGCCTTCAGGATCTGACCTAGACTTCTGGTCTCTGCCTCACCCTCAAATCGAATGAAGTCCTTGGTGCTCTTTGAAAGTCGGACAGTGCTAAACTGATCTGGGCAAATGAGATTCTTCAGCTGGTCTAGTATCTCCCAGTTGGAAAATGATCTAGTGTATGTGACATCTTCAGGCAGCATCACATTGATGGTCAGTCTGGCTATAGGCTTCAGATACAGGTGCTGAGCTGCACACAGCTCCATGGCCTCAGAGTTATCGTAAACTATGCTGACAGTCATTGTGTCCTCAATGCTCCTTAAGGAGAAAAAAAATAAAATGATGTTAACAAAAACAGGGAAATCAAGATCGAGATTTGGAAAAATCCCACTAGCACTGGCATGTCAAAATGAAATAGAAACTTCTAAGTTTCTACAATTAAAATTAGACCCTGATTGATTTGGGCTGAGACCCTAGGTTTCCCAAATGATCTCAAGCTTGGATATAGGATAGGGCCTGGACCCTGCAACTGAATCAGTCTAGGACAATCCCTAGTGAGGAAACTCCTTCTGCCAATGTAGGTCAGCACCTGCACTGCAACTAATGGTCTTAGACAATTGCTCGGAGACCCTGACTGGTGAAGAGGCTTCCTATAATCACACAGCTAGTGTCGGAGGTAGGAATTGAACCCAGGGCTTTCTGCTCTCAAGGCAAGTTCTCGATCCACTTCGTCCTGCCAACTCAAAGTTTAAGATCTTAAAAAGGACCAAGAACACTGCTACAGGGCAAACTCTAGTTTTGTTAGGCAGCATTAATGAATATAGGTTCTCATCTCCAACCTTGAAAGAGTATTCCCCTACTAGTTTGGCTGCTAGGAGAAGACAAGCTCATCAATGAATTTGCTTTCTCCTTTGAAACTGACAATACTTAGAGACACAAGGACCTTCTCACATTTTACCCAACAGACCATGTTGAGGCTCCTCTATAGAATCTCAGAATCAGACAGGTCCTCAGGGGTCACATAAGCCAATCCATACAACAGACTCAACAAGTGACCATCCAGCCTCTGATTGAAAAGTCCTGGTGAGGGATAGCCCATTCCACTCTGGGATAGCTTGAACTAGTACTCACTTTTTCCTGGCATCAAGCCCAGAACTGTCTCTACAACTTCCTCTTAGGTCTGCCCCCTGGGGCCAAATAGAACATATGACAGCCATTCTATATGATAAGCCTTCAATTTCTTTTTTTTTTTTCAGCCAAAGCCACCAAAATGATGAGGTTTAGAGGTTTAGGAGTGCTGGGACCCCAAAATCACAACAGGCGGGTACGGGTCCTGCCCCAAAGAATTCAACCCAAACCTTCTTTCAGCCAAAGACAAGGTTTATTAAAGATCTGCCATACTGGCCAGACTCTTAAGGAGTCTGAACATTAGTGAGCCAGCCATTGGTAAGATTGTAATAATCTGAGCATTTAGCTGGATTACAAGAATCTGAGCCAAGCCTTCAATTTCTTAAACACAACTAATTGGTCTCCTCTTCTGCAAGCTAAACACCCCCAGTTCCTTCAACTCATCCTCCTGTAACATGATCTTGAGTCCCTTCCCTACCATGGTTGGTTCCTCTGGATACTATCCAGCTTATCAGATCCTTCCTAAAATATGGCACATGTGGTCTACCCAGGACAGTCAGTGCATAGTGTGTCCACCACATTGTGCAGTCTGAGATCATGGGAGCTTTTTTGGCTGCCATGATCATATGCAGATTCATATTAAGCTTCAGTCCTCTAAAACAGTGCTTCTTAAACTGTGGGTCCCAATTGTGACCACAGTTTAAGAAGCACTGAAAGGGGTCACGAATGGAAAAAGTTTAAGAAGCCCTGCTCTAAACCACCCCACCCCCAGATCCTTTTCATATAAACTGCTGTTTAGCCATGCCTCCAACCTGAACTTGTGAGGCTGATATTTTAAAGCACAAGCCTTCACATTTATCTCTATTGAAAAGCATCTTGTTTGATTTGGCTCAATAATCTAGTCTGTCAAGACTTTGGGGATTCAGACTCCGTCATCCAATATGTTAGCCACCCAGAAATGGCTTTGTGCCATTTGTAAATCCAATAAACATGCCATCTATGCTTCTGTCCAAGTCACTGATAAAAATATTGAAAGTAACACAGGGCCAACTACCAATCCCTAAAGCATTGCACTGAAGAATACATTCTCCAATTACATATCAAGCCATAAATCACTATTCTTTGGTCCCAGCTATTCAACTAGCTCCAAATCTACCTAACTGTGCCTACATCTGGCCCATATCTCTCCATCTCTGCAAAAAGAAAATTACATGAGGATCCCTTAGAACTGAACATTTTTTAAGAGGATCACTGAAATGGAGAGTCAAAACTTAATATTTCTGCTTGCCCATATCTCAAACAGCAGGTAACAATAACAGATTTTTCTTTAAAGAGATGGATTTGTAAAGAGACTATAGCCTACCAAGGAAGTGCTACCCTTTCATAATCCCACCCTCATTCTTCTGATAGCAATGCTTTTTCAAGTTTATTCTTAAAATCTTATCACTCACACAGCAAAGATAATAATGGAAATTTGTCAGGAAAAATGTGCATTAAATATCTCCAAAAACTGTCTGATAACCAAGACATATAAGTAATGAACACCAATACATAAGACCAAGAACCATTCCCCAATGGATAAGTGGTCAAAGGACATGAACAAACTGTTCTCAAAAGAATTACAAACCATTAACAATCATGTGAAAAAAAAATCACGTGAAAGATTTCCCCAAATCTCTAGCAAAATTAGAACAAATCTGGGTTTTACCTCATTCCAACAAATTGGCTCAAATGACAAAAGATGGAAAGGGTCAATGTTGAAGAGGATATGGGAAGTCAGACATATCAATACACTGTCAATGGGCCAAACACTACAAAAAATAATTTGGAATTATGCTTTTTTAAAAAGTGACTAAAATGTCCATGGCCTTTGACCCAAAGATCCTACATTTGGACATATACCTGAAGGAGGTCAAAAGACAGAAAAACAAGCCCCATTTGTTTTTTGTATTCTATGCACCTAACAGAGAACCTGTACAGTAAGCACTTAATAGATGCCTGACTGCTATATACCAAAATATTCATTGTGGCACTTTTTTTTCGTGGTAAGAAAGAAATAGAAACAAAGCAGATGACCGTCACTTGGAGAATGGCTAAACAAGTTGTGGTACATGAATGCAACAGAATACTACTGCTTTATAGTAAGAAATGATAGCTATAAAAAATTCAGAGAAATGAGAAGATTTATATGAACTGATAGGGAAGTAAACAGAAGCAGAAAAATAATATACACAATGAGAACAACAATACAAACAGAAAGAACAATAACACAAAACTCTAAATGCTGTGTAATTATAAGAACTAAGCTTGGTCCTGGGGAAGAGCTGAGAAAATGTACCTCTCTCCCTTCTTAGCAGAGGACGGGAAATGTTGCATGTACTGTCAGATGTGGCCAAGGTGTTTGGTTTTGCTGAGCCTTTTTTTCCCCTTTCTTTGTCACAAAGACAGTCTCACTGAACAGGGGAAGGGAAAGGATATATTCAGAAAAGATTGTGATATAAAAGCAAAAAACATTAATTATTTAAGATAAAAATTATTTAAAATTATTTAAATTAAAATTATTTAAAATCCCCCCCAAATTCCTATCACTTTTGGCTTACATTGGAACAAAAACAAACAGTGAATACTATGTTTCACATACAGCAATTATAGTTCTCTAACCATTGATCATCTAGGATTGAAGATATTCCCTAGCATTACAGAATTAAATAAAATTTCTGAAAATCCACTTCTTTTTGACAGTATATCCTATATTCTACATGTGTAGTCCTCTCTATTGCATGTCCTTATCAGGTCTCCAGACCATTATAATTACTCCAAATTTGCTTTTTATGTTATTATTTACATTATTGTAGTCACTGTGTAAATTCTTCTCTGGGTTCTGCCTTCTTCACTCTGAGTTACTTCATACATATCTTCCCATGTTTCTCTGAATTTCTCATATTCGCCACCTTACAGTACACTAACATGCCACTGCATTTATGTGCCACAATTTGTTCAGCCATTCCCCAAGAGATGAGCACACGTTCTGTTTCCTTTTTTTTTTTTTTTTTTGCTATGAACGCTGCTATGAATATTTTATTACACATAGGACCTTTCAGTCACTGTCTTCCTTTTGGGTATGTGCCTAGTAATGAGATTGTGAGGGAAAAGGGCAACAGTTCTGTGACTTTCCTCACATAATTCTAAAATTATTCCCAGGACTGCTGGACCAAGTCAAAGCTCCATTAACTGTGTCTTAGTGTACCTATCTTTCCACAGAACCACCAACACTAACTATTCTTGGCATTTTTCTCATCTTTGCCAACTAAATGGGTTATAAAACTTCAGAGTTGTATTACTTAGCTTTTACCCCATCATTACTGGTCTAAAGTTGATGTCTTCTTCTGAAAAAATTCATATCCTCGTGAAATGGTATTTTATTAATAATAATAGCTAGCATTTATATAGTGCTTTAAGGTTTGCAAAATGCTTTACATATTAGAAGTACAATGGCTCAGACACTGTCCTAGTAGCTTCTTCAAGCTACCTCACTAAAAACTATAGTTCACAGATTTACTTTTTTTTTTTTAAAGACACAATCTTTTTATCCTTGAAGTGATCTGGCCAGGGCAATAGTTAAAAAAAAAAAACCACAAAAACACACTATATAAAAGAGAAGGTCCTGAAAACAACTGACATGAACTGACCTCATAACAATTAGAGTTATCTAAAAGTGCAATGAACTTCCATTGGAGATAAAGAGCTACTGATAAGATACAATCCTCATCCTCCCAAGAGCATCTAAACAAGGAAATGCAAAGATAACTAAAATACACAATATTGCAAGCTAAGAGCATTCAAAATAAAATATAATGAGGGAGAGGGGAAAAGGCAAAAGGAGGTTAGAAAGCTTCCCAGAAAAGGTGGTTTTTAAACTTGGGCATTTAAAGGATAGGAGAATTTGACAAGTGAAGAAGATGAAAGGAAGCATTTCAGGGAACAGCATAATCAATGACATGGAGGCAGGAAATGTGTTCAGTGGCCACTGAGTAGCCCAGTTCACCTGAAACATAACAGCATATAAAAGAAAACACTATACAGCTGGAAGGGCAAGGTAATATCAGATTATGAAAGACCTTGAATACCAGGCTGTGAGTTTGGCTTAAATTTTAGAGAAGACAATAGGGAGTTGCTAAAGAGTGTTGAGA